TTCACTCCTTTCTCATATTATTTCTCTTATTTCTTCTCTAATGTTTACCTGCTGGAAAATCCAAGTCATATCAGCCCAAGTTGGTCATCTAGCTTAACTAACCAGGTCAACCTTGAACCCACCAGCATGATGAACACCTAGAAACCATATGAAACCAGTGTCTAGAATCAGAAACTGGTTTTAGCTGGATTTTCCAGTAGGGTTGCCAAGAATCTTCTTCATTTCATGGTTTCAACCATATAAAACCAGCATTTACCATCAGAATCTAGTTTTAGCTGGATTTTCCAGTAGGTTTGCTATTTATCTTTATTTGACAATTTTTTGTTAATAATCCCCTAGAAACCAGATAAAACCAGCATCTACCATGAGAAGATGGCAACCCTAGTGGAAAATCCAGCTGAAACCAGTTAAAACCAGCAACCCATAATCAACTTAATTTGATGGTTTCAACTAATGACCATCTAAAACATAAAACCAGTGTCTACCATCAGAAGCTGGTTTTAGATGGATTTTCCAGTAGGGTTGCCATTAATCATCTTTATTTCATGATTTCAACCAGTGCATACCATAAAAAGCTGGTTTTAGCTGGATTTTCCAGTAGGATTGCCAAGAACCTTCTTCATTTCATGATTTCAATTAAATAAAACCAGCGTCTACCATCAAATGTTGGATTTAGCTGGTTTTTCCTGTAGGTTTGCCATTTATCTTCTTCTTTTCTTGGTTTCAGCCATATAAAACCAGCGTTTACCATCAAAATCTAGTTTTAGCTGGATTTTCCGGTAGGGTTGCCATTAATGTTCTTTATTTGACCGTTTCAGTTAATGACCACCTAGAAACCAGATAAAACCAGCATCTACCATGAGAAGATTGCAACCCTACTGGAAAATCCAGTTAAAACCATCAACTCTTAATCATCTTCATTTGATGGTTTCAATTAATCACCACCTAAAACCATATAAAACCAGTGTCTACCATCAGATGCTGGTTTTAGCTGGATTTTCCAGTAAGTTTGCCATTAATCATCTTCTTTTGACAGTTGCATTGTTGAATGCGTGTCATAACTATAATTTGAGTTCTCAAAACCCCAAATGACTATGTATTCAGTTCATTTTCTTTCCTTTTTTTCTGTTTTCTAGACTGAATTGTGGGAAACTTGTCCATCCTGTTTTAAACAGGTAATGCTTTGCAGGGGTCTCTTCTCTCATCCGCTTCTTTTGAACCGCAGAGCCTCCATTCATCTCTGGTTGTTTTGCCATTCTGTCTCATTAATTCTACTCAAACACTATCCCAAGGCACTGTTTGAACTGGATTGCCTGATATCCTGCTATGCATCGCTAATGTGGAGATATGCAAGATTTATGTGTGCCGTCCGATTTGTCTTACCCACGTTGAATATGAAACATGAATCTCCTCATGTTGAAGTCGCTCTCAGTCAGGAAATGAATTATGTTGTCCTCGGCCACTTCGGCAGGGGTCCCGTAATCCCACGTATCACGACGAGACGGAGCACTTCGAGTCTGTAAACAGTCCCATCAAACACGGGCCAGAGATGAAACACTCATTCGTCATGAGTCGCAGTTTAACACGCAGCGCCGTGGGGCTCGACGTACACGCGCCTCCGGTGGCCCCCGTCAGATCTAGAGCGATGCCATTCTGCTCGTTTCTGCCATTAAGTGACAGGCCTTTGACTCTTTAACACTAAGTTTGAAGCTTTTTATAGCTGCCATCAAAACAAATCGCGCCATTGGAAATGTCCCTGAAAGTAACGCACGTTAAAGCACTTAACTGGGACAAAAATGTTGTTCTGAAAGCAAGCAAGACGGGGAAAGTTCAGCTGCTTCCTGAACGTGTCCTAGAGGCCTGCTGTCCTCATTCTGGCATTGTTTGGGCCAAGATACCCAAAAAGACCTGCTGCAAATGAAAATGATGAGTTGAAGGGCATGAGAGACAAATAGTGGCAGAGAGTTTTAAAGCCTTGCATGACTCGCACGTTTTAGCCGATGACCTCCAGTCGAGCCGGTGCCCAACCAACCCACAAACCCATGTGAACATCCCCTCCATCAATTATCTCTGGATTCGGCGTGCTTTAGCTTCTCCACATGGGGCTAATTTCACACTCGCTGCCACTCTTCCTCTAAAGACGCTGTCAGATGTCAGCTGAATGATGGCCGCCAGCGTGGCTACCGAGCGCACGCTAAAGCTCATTATTTGAGAAGAGATTAATTAATGAACGCTAATAGCCGTGTTGAATGCTCAATTTAATTTGAGATCAGCGGCCTGGAAGGTCGTACTTAGATCTGTGTGCAACCCTGACCCGGCTTTCCTCCCTGTCCTTCCTTGAATACCTCTGGGATGGACTGTTGTGTAATGTTTTGTATTTTTCGTGGTGCTGGTGTGTGCATGACTGCTGACTGTTTTGATGCTTTGACTTGTTTCCAATGCAAAATCAGATGCTTGTGTCAAACGGCAAGCACACATGCAAACGATGTTTGTTAAAGAAGTAGTTCAGCCAAAATGTCTTCATTTACTCACCTTCGTGTTGTTCCAAACCTGTATGACTTTCTTTTTTTAATGCAATTATAATAAGCTGCAAAAAGCACCCGAAAGCTCCATAAAAGTAGTCCAGACAACCCGCGCATGTCATTTAAAGTCTTCTCACGTTCTATCACATTAATTTATTGGTCTCTTCTGACTTTTTTAAAGTTTAAAAATCCTTGAAACAAGTTAACTTTGCCTGGGAAGCAACATTGAGATATCAAGACTTGTTTTCATAGATTATATCTTGAATATGAGTGTATTTGTCTCGAACAAAATACACTTAAGTTTTTTATGAGATTTATATAAAGCACTTTTATTTTGACTTTTTTGTCCTGATGCATTTCTTGCAGATTTTTTAAAACTTGTTTATACTTACAACAAGTGAAATAGGACAATATGCACTTATATTCAATTACATTTCAATGTTGGCCACTCAATTAAGAAGTAACAATTAACCGTTTTTTTTTTTTATTTATTTTTTGGCAGTGAACTGAATGATCGAAAAGACTCATTAGAATGATTTGTCCTCAAACTGGACATCTGCATTTCCCATGAGAAAGCGGGCACAGATGTTAAGATTTTCAGTGAATTGCTTCTTCAGTTTTGGTCTGTTCTTCACACAAAGCTATTGTATGACATCAGATGACTTGGGTTACAGTGCCAAGCATATGACTAGGATACAGTCATACGGGCCACTTTTATGATGCTTTAGTTTTTTGCCTTGTTGGAGCTTGACATCTTCAGTTCTCCTTCACTTTCATGATTGTGAAAAAAGCAGCCGGGATATTCTTCAAAACATCTCATTCTGTGTTCAGCTGAAGAGATAAAGCCACACAGGTTTGAAACGACATGACACAGAAGTCATTTTTGAATAAACCATCCCTTTTAACCTCCTGATGCAGTTTGTGGGACGCAAATAACAGACTGTTTAACCACTGCTAGTATTCAGCCTTTTGTAAAACAGAAAGTGTTTTCCTCATGCGACGTGACCCAGAAGCCAGACAGCTCTTATATTTTACCCTGGTGTTCTCTCCTCTCCCTTGCTCCAGATAGCAGCCCTTTCCCTAGACATCGTCGCTCTACCGTAGCATCGAAATATAGGCCAACCCTACGGGACAGAGCCTCTCGACTGAGCGTCCGTGTGCTATGGGATTTCAGGGTTTATGGCCGTATTTATTGTGTTTTCTCTTCACTTTCATTAAATAAGATGGTGGCGTTTGTTTTACAGCCTTGATTTTTCTGGCGTTGGGTTTGCTTTTGCCCTTCAGCTCTACTGGGTCATAAACTGCGTCTGCGGTATGTCAGAGCTGGAGCTGGCAGGCCATTTAAGGTTGTCTATTGTGTAGGAGTAGATCAGCGGAGACGTGGAGTGAGTAATTGCTTTGATGCATGGGGCCTGTCTCCTCTATTTCTCTCTTTCTCATTCTGTCTCAGTGCTGAAGTGCTCTGGCTTATTAAAACAGCCGTTTAGAGGCCAGAACTTCCTGAGTGTCTCGCAGAAGCTCCAGAACTTTTATCATTTATCTGCACGGCACATCTCTCAGCCTTCACAGTCTTCTGGTTATTTTAAATCTGATGTCAGGTGTGGCTGGCTGTCGATTACCACAAACAGTCTTCTTTAATTGGTAAAAATTAATTGGTAAATACATCTGCAGTCTGTTTTTGTTGAAGCAGTTTTCTTAAAAATGTTATTTGTGCTCCAGACTAGATTTCTGTCATGCAAAGGTACTTTGAATCCTGCAACGAATGCTGGCCACAGAATATGTCATTAAATGAATATGTTAGTCTTTATGACTCCTGTTTTAAATAAATTATAAATGCAAATAATAGTCATCATGTAGCTTTTGAAGTGTGCAGTTTTCATTCTGAGCAACAGGTAAATCTGTCATGTTCTCTCAATGAATTGATTAAAAATCCTGCCAATTCATATGCAGTAATCTTGAAATATGACGTGCATATATATACAGTTCTACAATATGTTTACATCTATATTTATGTATCACATAAATATACATATGAAATAAATACGTTAAAAAATTCAACAGAATTCATGAAAATGAGATTTAAGGACCCTTATTTATTTATTTATGCATTAGAACAGTATTTTCATTATTTTCACTATATATATATATATATATATATACACACACACATACATACATACAAACACATGGACCCTTGATTTATTTATTTATTTTTACATTATAACATTATTTTCTGTATATAAACCATGGTGACTTTGCGTGCAGAAAACGGTTTATCAAGCTATTACTGCTTTTCTGTTTTGCTTCCATTTTGAGGTTCTTTAGTATAAAAGCTTTTGAGTAAATTATTGTCTGTAGTAGTCGACAGCATGCAGTAAATACTGTAAATAACCCAGAATCTTCCCATAAGTCTGAATGATGTACAAATTAGATTAATTTGTGATGTTCCTCCTCTTGTCTTCCCCTCACCTCTTCCAGACCAGCGACCAAAGCACCAGCGGCCGAGAAGAAAGAACGTCCAACCAGCACCATGAGCGAAGCGTCGAACTACACGGGCGGCTCAGACTATACCACACATCCCAGCAGCCCCACAACCAGAGTGAGTCACTAACTCACTCACTGATCTTGGCCTAGTTCCAGCATGACAGATTGGACTGTCCCATCATGCATCAATAGCATGTTACACAATTATGTCCTCATTACTGCACATTTGCTTCATTGCCTTTGCTCTGTGATGTTGAGTTGATATAGAGTATCATAAAAATGCAGTGGGTTAGGATGGGTGACTAGTTGTTCAGCTAGTTAAAAATCCATCTCAAGCAAGCATTAATGTGTTTTTCTCTGCACCTTCACTCATTTAATCTTAGTGTTTCCATCATGCATTTTTAATGCAATATCTTGCATAAAAATTTGTGGATGGTCTCTGAGAAGTTTCTAAATCAGATTAATTATTCAAGGCTTTCGAAAGACTAGTCGACTTGTCATTCAGACAACCCACTGAAAATATAATTTTGCACATCCCTAAACTTTGTATAACATAAAAACACCCAAACAAGATAAACAATTAATGAGTGGCTGTGGCTCATAATGCCGGCGTTTCTCAAATAAATAAATGAACATGCGTATGCATACAGTACGTACATGTATAAAGCTATCAAGCGATTAAACTTTTTAATCTAATTAATTACCCAAATCAAATTTTGCTGAGAAATAAAAAAAAAAGATAATTTAAAGTCATTTTTGTGTTAAATGAGAAAAGTGTCAAATAGACAAAAAAAAAAAGAAATATTTTATTTGATTCAACATCAAATAAATAGTTTTTTTCAGAAGCTGCATCTGAATTAGTATTTAGGTATATTTACAGACCATTTATTGCAGCTCTGAGGTGGCATTTACACCTTGCATTTACAATTGCATAAATAATGCGACAAATGCAATGTTTTTTTTTTTTATTAATTTGTAATTAGTTCAAAATTATTTTATTCTTTTTCATTTAATTTAAATTTGTAATTAGTTTTTAAATTAATTTATTATTATTTATTTATTTTTAATAAAATGATACTCTAAGTAAAAAACTAAAACTGCCAGTAGGTGGCAGTAAATGTCTTGGATAATGAGTGAGTCATTGAGTCATTCATTCATTCAATTCATTCAAACAGCTGATTCATTTAGAAATGAAGTAAATGGTTCTCTTTATGAATGAGTCATTGAATCATTGTTTCACCTGATTTGTTCAAAAATGTGGATTTATTTAGAAACAAAATACTGCTGTCTGTTGATCGGAGTTGCACAAAAGTTCTGCTATGCCTTTATAGGTAATATTTTCATTGGCAAAATTGAGCAAAAACAGACAGTATTGGATCTAAAATAGAACACAACATGAACTTCTTATTTATTGAACTGTTGTTTAATTGAATTTATATAAATATAAGACAAAAACTCATACGGGGGCATTAAATGTGCATTAAATGTCTTAATAAATTAAACGTGTTATTTTTCCCTAATTAATTAAACGAATGCGCTAAATCCAAGTGCTTATATAAATACACGAACACATACATTCATAAGGCTAAATTATTTTCTAAGATAATAATGTCAGTTTGTCTCAGAAGATGCTAAGATGATGAAATGAGACTGGTTTTTCATTCTGATGATTTATTGTCAGCATTTATCATTGGAGGGGTCCAGAGATCAGCGACTTGCTCATCTGTATGATTGTGTCTCATTAGAGCAAGACGAATGACAGATATGCTCTTCTCAGATTGTTGCCCGTGTGTTTTGGCTTCTGTTAAGCAGTTTTTTTAACGTTCTGAGGGTTCGATAGTGCTGTTGATTCATAATGCATGCGCTAAACGACTTCACTAGTAAGTTGTGATTATTTACAGCTTCATCGTTGAATAATGTATACAGGCAAGCTTGAGCCCTCACGAGTGTCGTTTCTGAGAATTCTCTCCTCTCCCCCTGTTTGCAGCTGTCCAGGTCCTCAAAGAAAGTCCACAACTTTGGCAAGAGGTCCAACTCCATCAAGAGGAACCCCAATGGCCTGGTGGTGAAAAATGGCTGGCTTTACAAACAGGTTTGTGGCTCCGGTGCTCCTACAAACCATTAATACACCTTTGCATATGTGTGAGAGAATCTCATGTATAAATGTGCACAAAAAAGTATGTAGCATTATAAAATAAGGATTTTTGGCGAGTTATTTACTTTTTTTTTTTTTTGCATTAAAACATTATTTTCATGACAGTTAAACACATTAGGACATAGATTCTCATTACTGTAATACAGTAAATTAATTCTCATCAATCATCCCCTTCTGATATTTTATTTTATTGTTAATTTTGATTTATTATTTATTAAATATAATATTATTTATACATTAATATACTTTTGCTTTGCATCATGGTACTTTAAAGTACATCAATAGGAAAAAATATGAAATTTAGAAAATTAGATTTTTGGGCCCTTGGGGTGTTTTGCTAAATTAAAAATAAATTTACATTTCTATTTACATTTAGTCATTTAGCAGATGCTTTTATCCAAAGCGACTTACAAATGAGGACAATAAAATAAATAAAAATTAAATTTGGTAATTTTTTAATAAAAAATACATTTGGTCATTTTTTTATAATTTATTTATTATAATTTTATATTAATATAATTTTATTTTGCATGATACTAATCATATGCATTTCCTTAGTAACCTGATGTATTAAAAAAAACTAAAATATCATGTTTATATCACAGAACATGACCAACTGAGATAAAAGTTTTCAGTTGAGCAGTTTTGATGGTTATTTAGTTGCTGATGGTCACGTTTTCTGAGATTTGCCTGCACTTAAAAGCTTATCCATCAAACGTTTCATCCGTGCTTCATCTGCCTTTGTTTTTATGCAGGCCATGCACGACTCCACAAGCACATTTGTGCTTTTGCATCATATTTTTCACAACCGCTTCTCATAAAAGCCAGATCGAAATAAACACATAAAGCGTTACGGTCGCATCAGTAAGTTGAGCGCGTCTTTGTGTGTGTGATCGCTGCACCAGCATTCCTTTGAAAGCATCGTGTTTCCACGAAAAACACGACTACAGAGGTGGTCTCTCCTCTTCCCCAAACATCCTCCATCAAAGCTGCTCCCGCAGCACAAGCAAAATTGTCAGACTTTGTTGTCTGAATTCAAATTTACATGCTTACATGGTGCAAACATTAACACAACAAACAGTAAAACACGAGGGAGGAATATGAATATGATTCATGCCTCAGATAAATGAGTCGCCTTGAAAAAAAGAGAGAGTTTCCATTCTGGAGAGCAGCAGCAAACAAAGCAGGGATATTTGAGGAAAATAAGCGTGTATTAGAAAGGGGCGGGATTTCTGTGCTGCACTGTGATTGGTCGGCTGGTTTGATTGATGACTGTGCTGCTGGATTTTGCAGGACAGTACTGGAATGAAGATGTGGAAGAAGAGATGGTTTGTTCTGTCTGACATGTGCCTCTTCTACTATAGAGGTGAGTCGAGTGTCTCTGTTTATAAAAACACACCAATGTGTCTGATTTTCCTGTTTATGTGTGAGAATAAATTCATCTCTGAACACTTTCTGTTGACTTTTGCTGCAATGTGATCAAGTGACACATTTGCGCTGCTATCTGTGGGTTTTACGCTGTGTATTTTTCTAATCTTAGCACTGTATGTCTACTAAATGGATGGTTTCTACTATAATGTGCTCTTCCAAAAGTTTTTTTTTAGTGATCTGAATAAAATTTGCGAGTGCAGTAACCGGGATTACTGAATGATTCGGATTCCACATAATGATTTTGAATCACTAATGATTCAATTTGGTTCTTTTGATTCCTTCTGTGGTTCATTCTGAGTGATTCAGTGAGTGAGTCAGTAGACTGATTCAAACTGGTAACACAGGAATTCAAAAGTGAGTCTTTTTTTATTGATTCGTTAAAAAGAACTAGTTCATAAGTCTTTTTTTTATAATTCTACGATTGTCAGTTATGATTTACATAATGGGTAATTTACTGTCAGCCAGTCATTATCTTGATATTATATTATCTCAATAGAATTACCCTGATGAGGTTTATTTTGCACTAATGATCTTTTGACTGAACATCTCACTTCTCACGGATGGCTACTTAACAAGTAAACAAATAAATGGATATAAATGTTGAAACATATATAACTTGTTTCTCTATTCAGTTATACAGCGTTGCCATTGACAGTGGTCACTATTTCAGTGTTATTTTAGTATTGTTTATATACTATTTTAGTATTTATTCACATTTTAAATAAACTTTTTTATATTTTTATTTTTAATAATTGTGTTGTACCTTTGTCTTTTTATTTTTATTATTTTAAAAATTATTATTATTTATTTTTAAAAATATTTCTGTTGCTTGATTTGTTTTTATTTCAGTTTTAGTCATTTTAGTACTTAAACATAATTTCAGTTTGTGTGTGAGTTAGGGGCTTTCAGAATGACTGAAAAACTAAATTCGAATTTTGTACTTGAATATTATCAAAATTTGAATTATATTCTAATTTAAAATGTATAATTTCAGTTAGGGTGAAGAAAGGTTTTGGCTTCTCTTCTGAGGCCACAAGAGGGCGCATCGAGCAAAATATTACTAATGCACGTTTATTCAAAGCATAAGATAACGACTATCTGTGAAAAAAAGTGCATGATGTTTAAAATAATGTTTATAAAACAATTATAATTAAGTTACTTAAACAACTATAAACAAAACATCATCATGTATATATTCATAGTTTAATACAAAGGGCTGAAAGCCAATCACACAGAGTACATTTTTCATTTAAAAACATGAGATGCAGTGGGATGGGGGAAAAAACCCGCTATAAAGTCTCAATATATGTTTTTTTCAAAGTTAAACTTGCATTAATTTTACATGGCTTTCTAAACATGAAGCTCCTTTGTGCGAGACGCGAGTGTAACAGTGATAGATGTCCCTCTAGAAAATGCGCAAAATATGTGTTCCGTGTGAACGGCTTGGTTTCAGTTTTGATGTAAACAAGATCTTCTCCACATTTATGTTCTTTTTTCCGCAATATTTTTAATGAACAACGCAGCAGCGCCGCATCTAGTGGCTTCAACTGGATAGGCTAACAAAAACATTATAATGCAACGACACTTACATCGTCATCACATCTCGTGCGCCACTGATAAGGCTGCGTCCTTAATGCACACCTAAAATTTCAAATATTTGTTGAATTTAAAATAAAAATCCACATTCGAATGCAAAAACGTTGCATTCGAATGTGGATTTTTATTTTAAATTCAACAAATATTTGAAATTCAAATTTTTTTTTAACAGATTTTTTTAATGTGAGTGTGTGCATATTATACAATAGGCAACATTTCATTTAAATTTTAGTCATTTTAATACTTCAGCTTTTTAATTTAGTTAGTTGCATTTCTTTTTTTCTTTTTTTTTAAGTTTACGTTTTTCATCTAATATTGACATTTTTTTCATGTTTAAATATTTATTTCATTTATTTCATTTTTAACTTTTTTCAAAAACAATTTTTATTTCAATTTGAGGGATTTTAGTACACTTCTCATTCTTCTCATTTTTTCATCTAATATTCATTTATTTATTTTTTGCTGTATTTCAGTATAATTTCACTCAGTATAACAAAACCTTTTTTTTTTTTAATCAATTTTAGATAGTTTCAGTTGAATTTCTCAATAGTTACCACTATTCAGAAATATTTGACTCTTAAATATTGTGGTTGACCATTCAGAATCAACTATTTTATATAAGCTCTTACAGTGTACACAATGAAGGAGATGCATGGACAAAGTCCAGTTTGAGCCCAAAGGTGTCACGTTGGACGGGTTGTGCTGCATGCTGAAGTCTCTTGAGGACGCTCTCTTAGATCTCCATAAATTGTGCAATTAAGCAGTCCGGCAGTGCAATCAGATCCTTCTTTCACAGCAGGACCCATGAGGACCGAGGCTGTTTATTGGCTGACAGAGAAGACAGAGCAGTATTCTAGCCACGCAGCAGACGTGCTCAGACTGTCTGTTCATATCCTCCGTCTCTCTGTGAGTCCGTATCGACGGCTCCGATTAAATGTTGCATGTGGATGTCAGTGATGAAGGACAGGTGAAGCTCTGAACGGCCCTGACCGAACGATACCACTGAGAGCAGAGGAATGCATATCACTGACGCCCCCTGTCTGTGTCAGCTGCTACTGCACACACTCATCATGCACTAGTTCATTGGTTTTGGTCACGGTAAGATCATATGTAAGGCATGTGATATCTAATCACACATGGATTTTTATGAACTCTTATTTTCAATGACTGTAGTATAAAATATTTGGATATGTGTTAAAATCAACATGAAATAATAATAAATCACTCATCTTATGTAGCATGACTGACCACAGTGCACGCTGTACGCATTATGAAATTTGGCCAATTAAAATAAAGTTTTGCTTTTATATAAAAATAAAAATGAGGTGGTGAATAATAAGAGATTTTGAATGTCAGCTAATGTGGATTTTTATTTTAAATCCAACAAATATTTGAAATTCAAATTTTTTTTTAACAGATTTTTTTAATGTGAGTGTGTGCATATTATACAATAGGCAACATTTCATTTAAATTTTAGTCATTTTAATACTTCAGCTTTTTAATTTAGTTAGTTGCATTTCTTTTTTTCTTTTTTTTTAAGTTTACGTTTTTCATCTAATATTGACATTTTTTTCATGTTTAAATATTTATTTCATTTTTATTTCAATTAACTTTTTTCAAAAACAATTTTTATTTCAATTTGAGGGATTTTAGTACACTTCTCATTTTCATTTGTTTTTCATCTAATATTCATTTATTTATTTTTTGCTGTATTTCAGTATAATTTCACTCAGTATAACAAAACCTTTTTTTTTTTTTATCAATTTTAGATAGTTTCAGTTGAATTTCTCAATAGTTACCACTATTCAGAAATATTTGACTCTTAAATATTGTGGTTGACCATTCAGAATCAACTATTTTATATAAGCTCTTACAGTGTACACAATGAAGGAGATGCATGGACAAAGTCCAGTTTGAGCCCAAAGGTGTCACGTTGGACGGGTTGTGCTGCATGCTGAAGTCTCTTGAGGACGCTCTCTTAGATCTCCATAAATTGTGCAATTAAGCAGTCCGGCAGTGCAATCAGATCCTTCTTTCACAGGCGGACCCATGAGGACCGAGGCTGTTTATTGGCTGACAGAGAAGACAGAGCAGTATTCTAGCCACGCAGCAGACGTGCTCAGACTGTCTGTTCATATCCTCCGTCTCTCTGTGAGTCCGTATCGACGGCTCCGATTAAATGTTGCATGTGGATGTCAGTGATGAAGGACAGGTGAAGCTCTGAACGGCCCTGACCGAACGATACCACTGAGAGCAGAGGAATGCATATCACTGACGCCCCCTGTCTGTGTCAGCTGCTACTGCACACACTCATCATGCACTAGTTCATTGGTTTTGGTCACGGTAAGATCATATGTAAGGCATGTGATATCTAATCACACATGGATTTTTATGAACTCTTATTTTCAATGACTGTAGTATAAAATATTTGGATATGTGTTAAAATCAACATGAAATAATAATAAATCACTCATCTTATGTAGCATGACTGACCACAGTGCACGCTGTACGCATTATGAAATTTGGCCAATTAAAATAAAGTTTTGCTTTTATATAAAAATAAAAATGAGGTGGTGAATAATAAGAGATTTTGAATGTCAGCTAGGTTTGGGAACTAAAAACCAATACATTTAAAAAAAAAAAAAAAAATTTCTCATTTTGGAGAACACACTACTGTTCAACAGTTTGGGGTCTGTAACATTTTAATGTTACAAAATATTTTTTAATTAAAATTAATGCTGTTCCTTTGAACTTTCTATTCATCATAGAATCCTGACAAAAATAAAAAATAATGTATCACGGTTTCCAGAAAAATATTAAGCAGCACAACTGTTTTCAACATTGATAATAATCAGAAATGTTTCTTGAGCAGCAAATCAGCATATTAGAATGATTTCTGAAGGCTCATGTGACACTGAAGACTGGAGTAATGATGCTGAAAATTCAGCTTTTCATCACAGAAATAAATTACACTTTAAAATACATTCAAATAGAAAATTATTTTAGTTGTACTAATATTTCATAATATTACTTTTTTCATCAAATAAAGAAGAAAATATTTAAATTTTAATATTCAATTTAAAAAATATTTAAAAGCAATCCCCAATCCATTGAATGGTAGTTTTTGTTTTGTTTGTTTGTTAGTATTGTTGTTTTATATTTACTCTATTTATGTCGCCTTTAAAACGACTGAAAAGTCATTAAAAAGTGTGTAAACACTCTTTATGCAAGAATTGTTTGCCATTTTTATTATAGAACATCTTTCATCATTTGGCAGTATAATTATATACTTTGGCAGTATATTAATAATAAATATTTTTTCCTCTAAAGTAATCATTAATGGAAAATATCCAGAACAGTTGTTTACCGCTCCAGTCCTAATGACTGTTGGCTGAGATTTTGTGCAGAATTGTTCGAATTTTGTATCCGCCGCTGAACTTTCTCTGAGCTTAGATTTTTTTGGCGGTATCAGTATGTGGTTTCCCTAAAGCCAACACGCTGAGTCTGATCTTGACGAGAGAGCTGATCATCTCTCTGTGTTTGTTTGCTGTCAGTGATTCAGCGCGGCGTCTGCTGTGAGCCACCTGCAGGTTTCTTCACTTCTGAACGCCGCCTCACAGATCTGAGCCGCACACGGTGCTCCAGAACTCACTGTGTGGGATGTTTCCAAAATGCAAAAACTTGCTCCATGTAACTTTTAAAAGACAATTGCATATCATAGTGCTGAAATATTGTCTTCATTGGTCTCTATTGCAGAGGAATAGCAAGCATGTTAGTCTGCTGAGTTTGCATCACAAGAATGTATATTGCCCATATTTCGGGTTAGGAATTCAAACATCTACTTAACACTAATTATACAACTGTAAATAAACATGCATGGACATTAGGCTTGCCGCGATAGACGGTGCTGATGGTGATACCGTTGTTAAGCCGCAACACCGGTTATGTCACTTGCCCACCGCGGCACCGACCCCCAGTGTTGTTTTTATTTTTTTTTTATAGTAATAAAAATCATTTAGTTCAGTAAAAGAACAGACACTACAATTAAAAACTGAACGCGGCTGCTCAATGCAGAGTGCCGAACGTCAGTCGCATCACAGATCAGATTTCATTTATCCAGTGAGGAGAGTGAGTTGAGCTGACTGACAAGAAGAGTGAGGTGAGACAGACAAGAATTGCTTTACGCTGAATTGCCGCTATTTGAAAGTGAAAGTAAAAAGCGCACGTCGCTTTTGCAAGCTATTTAAAAGCGAAGGAAAGCGAGGAAAAGAGGAAACGCCCCCACGGTGATACCGGTATTATACCGGTGTTGTCACACGTCAATTAACCGGTGGGAAAATTTCCTCACCGTCACAACCCTAATGGACATGTTATAGATATACAGATTTTTCAGTGACTCTTTCTTCAGTTTACGTTATGCCAGTAGGTTGTGACAATTGACCTGTCTTTATGAGTGGGTCATTTATTCACTCAGTCGATTCCTTCAAAAACACTGATTCATTCAGGACTAAAATATATTTTATTCAGTCAATCACTAAATCTTTCATGCAACCAATTTGATTCATTCAGGGACAAAACAAGTGACTGTTTTTTTTATGAGAAAATGATTGAATCTTTCATTCAACCATTTCAATTCATTCAGGTATGATACAAGTGACTGTCTTTATGAGTGAGAAGTTCATTGACTCAATCTATTCCTTCCAAAACACTGACTTATTCAAGAGCAAAATATATTTGTCACCTGTAAATGATTGAATCTTTCACTCAACCGATTAGATTAATTCAGGAACAAAACAAGTGACTGTCCTTACGAGAAAATGATTGAATATTTAAATCGACTGATTTTATTCACTAAAAAATAAAACAAGTGACTGTCTTCATGAGAAAATGATTAAATCTTTCACTCAACCAATTTGATTCATTTAGGAATGAAACAAGTGATTTGTTAGTAGAAATTGATTGATTCTTTCAATCGACCCGTTTGATTAATTCAGGAACGAAACAAGTGACTGTCTTCATGAGTGAGAAATTCATTCATTCAATCGATTCCTTTCAAAACACTGACTTATATATGAACAAAATATATTTATCCTCTGCAAATTATTGAATCTTTCATTAAACAAATTCGATTTATTCAAGAATTAAACCAGTGATTTCATTTACTTCAAAAACACTGATTCATTCAGGAACGTTCAGGAATATATTTATCACCAGTAAATCGTTGAATTATTCACTCAACTGATTCAGTTCATTCAGGTCTTTAAGTGATTCATCGAATCATGTATTCAGCAGATTGATGTAGACACACTGAGTCATTAATTGAAACACTGGATCAGGAATGCCATTAGTGTTCTACGGTTAGTTTTGTTTTGACTTCATTTGGAACTATTTTTGTTGGCAGAGCAAAAACAGATATTAATTGGTGTCAGGTTGCTCAGTATTGACCTTCTGTTTATTGAACGGTTAAAAGCATTATCACTCATAATTGTGCTTAATTTGTCTTGAGACGTGCTGTTATTTCTCCAAGCGATCTGACAAATGATTAAAAGGCGGGTTTTGCAAATAAAATGGATAATGAATAATGAATGGCATAATGGCTGTTTTTGGCATTATTACAGTAATAGTAACGGTTAACACAGCTGTCACTCTGAATTGACTCTTGACAGATTGGTCGCAGTCTGCAATCAAAGCGATAGAGTTCACAGTCGAGAGCAGTCACAACCTCATTGACACGCTCAGATGCACACAACCCTGCAGTTTTCCCATCAGCCCTGCCGGACTGCCTGTTTACCCGAACCCCTGCCGAAATAAACACTCAGTCATCAGCTGCAAGTTTAACAGGTTCCCTGGCAGTCGGCTAATATATGCTAATGTTCTCAACGTCTCTCTCTTTGTGTCTTCAGATGAGAAGGAAGAGGGAATCTTGGGAAGTATCCTCCTGCCCAGCTTCCGCATCTCCATGCTGTCTGTGGACGACCACATAAGCAGGAAATATGCCTTCAAGGTCAGAGATGCATTCAGAATCTCTCAAACGTGGCCATATTTTACATATAAATGTGGTTTGGAAGAGGGCAGGTGAATAGACTGGTGAATAAAAGTTGAAACACTTAATTTAAACAGAGATACAGTCGATAGATGTTTACTTTTAGCTTTATTGTTATAAATGAAATTTTTTAAACCATCATCACGTGCTTTTTCTATCATGTGAAGCAAGCCCCTGCTATTTTATTGGCCACCATTTGAAAAAGTAATTTAAATTTAATGTCATTATGAAATTTGAGGTTAATTCTACATATTGTACATTTTTAATATTCAAACATGAACTAACAATGAACAATTTATACACTTCTTTTTAAATGTTTGAGGTTGGTAAGATTTTATTTTATTTAAAAAAAAAGTCTTACGCTCATCAATGCTGCATTTATTTGATCAAAAATACAGCAAAAACAGTTTTCTATTTAGATATATCTGAGAATTTAGTTTATTGCTTGGATTAAAGCTGAATCTTCAGCATCATTACTCCAATCTTCAGTGTCACATGATCCTTCGCAAATCAGTCTAATATGCTGATTTGCTGCTCGAGAAACATTTCTGATTATTATCAATGTTGAAAACAATTGTGCTGCTTCAAATTTTTCTGGAATCCATTATACATTTGGTTTTTCAGGATTCTTTGATGAATAGATAATCCAAAAGAACAGCATTTATTTGCAATATAAATCTTTTGGAACATTTTAAATGTCTTTACTGTTACTTATGATCAATTTAATGCATCCTTGCAGAATAAAAGCATTAATTTCTTTTAAAAACAAAAACTTACTGACCACGAACTTTTGAACGTATTTATAAATTAACCTAAACCTAGATTAATAAAATTGTGTTCATTGTTTGTTTCTGATACCAAGCTGAATTGTATTACAACATTTTTACTTATCCTAATAGCTTATAAAAACAAACCTTGTCACTTTTAGGATCCTGACTATTTCCATTAAAAGCATTAGAAATATTACGCTGACTTCAGGCCAGCAAAACTTTTTAGTATTAACTAAATTTTGAGAATTAAAGTTTAGACAGATTTAGTCTCTCTCTGGGGTCGGATCGGTGTGTTCATTTGTGAATTTAATCAAGTCTTGAAAATAAAATCCTGTCATCCTGCTCAAGGGCGAGAGTTTGGCTCTAGTAAAACAGTTATTAACTTGAGTTAGACCAGTTTCCTGACACAGGTTTTTGCTGGATGGCACTTTTCAGCTGACGCTGCATTTTTGTGTCTTGTTCTGTGAGAGTCTCAGTGGAGTCATTTACCTATTAGTGCAGGTATTTTCATGTCGACTCATTACTTTTTCTCGATCTTAATCTCTATTTCACAATGGTGTGGCTTGTCCTACATGAGGATTCATGAACTCGAGCATCAACATGTTTACTAGATGGAGCATCGCTAATATGGTGAGTCCTGATTTTGCACAATGCCACATTAACATACTTAACCACATTAACCAGGAACATCTTCATCCTTTCATTATCTAGACCTTAAAGGAATAGTTCACCCAAAAATTTACATTTGCTGAAAATTCACTCACCCTCAAGCCATCCAAGATGTAGATGAGTGTTTCTTCATCAGATTTGGAGAAATGTAGCATTCCATCACTTGCTCAACAATGGATCCTCTGCAGTGAATGGGTGCCGTCAGAATGAGAGTCCAAACAGCTGATAAAAACATCACAATAATCCACAAGTAATCCACACCAGCAATTAACGTCTTGGGAAGACAGAAGCTGCATGTTTGTAAGAAACAAATCCATAATTATAAAGACATTCTTAACTTCAAACCATTGCTTTTGGCTAAAATACGAGTCCATAATCCATAATAAGGACTCATATTTTGACCAGAAATTATGGTTTAAAGCTAAAACACCTTAATGATGGATTTGTTTCTTACAAACACACAGCTTTTGGTTTCACAATGCTAACTGATGGACTGGAGTGGTGTGGATTACTTGTGGATTATTGTGATGCTTTTATCAGCTGCTTGGACTCTCATTCTGATGGCGCCCATTAAGAGTGTATCTCATAGAAATGTATTTTGTATGCTGCCTATGTAGACTGAAACATCTCACTAGGGTTTATAACAGAGTTCTTGCTAACTATTCTAAAGCGCTGAGTGTTCGCTCTTTGAATCTTATATAAACTGTTGTGAAAGATGAGTTGTAATATCCAGACAAAAGCTGTCAGAGTCGAGCAGTCAGACAAACTCCTGAGGGGCTCTGAACGATGGGGGTCTGTCAACTCAAATCCTCCTGACGAATTTCTGCTCACTTCAGAAAGACTACTCAAGCATTATTGCATTTTGTGCCACTGACACCAGCTAGGACACCCAAAGCAGGTATTTATTGGTATTCACCGTCCACTCTTTTTTTCCCTCAGGTTGCCGTGTTGGTTTTTCACAACTAGGCAACGCATCCAAACATGCGGACGTACTATTTCAGCACTGACACAGCCAAAGATATGGAGTCCTGGATGAAGGTTATGACAGATGCAGCATTGGTCCACTCTGAGCCAATCAGAAGGTAAGAAAACAAGCTCCGGTTCACTCTGAACCAATCAAAAGGAAAACATTCAAATCCCTTGTACCACTTCAATGACATTTATAGCCGTTAATTTCAGTGTTTGTTTTCCCAGGTTAGGAGTTAGTGCAAAAAAGCAACAACAAAAAAAAAAGTAGTTAATGATATAAATAATTTAAAAGCAATAATAAAATAAAGAAAAATCTGAAGTTGTTTTTTATGATCAGTAATACTGTCAAAATACTTATTATTTTTTAATGCAAATTAATAACTTTTTTTAAGCAAAAATAACAAAGAAAAAAACCCTAAAGTAGTTGTTTGTGATCAGTGAAAATTTGAGTTGTTAATCCTTTTTTTTATATAAAAGATATTTTACTCAATTTGTTTTTCTGGGTTAAGAATTTTTGTTTTTTTTTTAGAAGCAAAACAAAATAAGTTAATAAGTAATACAATAAGTTAAATAACTGAAAAAATGTAAAAGAAATAATAAATTAAAGAAAAAATAAATACGTTTTTTATGATCAGTAATAATGTCAAAATGTTAATATTTTTTAAATGTATATTTTTACCCCAGTTTAAGAAGCAGTTTCTTAAAAGGAAAACAAAATATGTAATTAGTCATATAAATAGATTAAAATCAATAATAACAAAGAAGATGATGTAAATTGTTAATAAATGTTTTTTTATATAAAAATATATTTTACTTTAATTTTCCAGGTTAAGAATGATTTATATTGTTGTTAACTTGTCTTTAAGCTGCCTCAGTAGAAACCACTTCAGTCACTTCAGCATTTCCTCTTTACTCTTGGCACTCTTCATAACGGTGCTTTTGTCATACCTTTTTGAGTTTCTAGACTAGAGCCGCTTCTATCCCGAGAGAGTATGACGAGCAGAGATTTTCACAGCTTTATAAGTGCAGAAGATGTTTTTGAAACTCTGTGTGTCTTGTTTGTTTCATTACAGCTTTTAGCACAATCACAGATACTGAAGAGTTCTCTCAGACTTAAACACTTGCTTTTCTTTTTTTCGGCAACAGGATCTGCAGCTCACTTTTCATAGAAACAAAGTGACTTTTATTAAAAGAGACACAAATGTTTGGTCAGAAAGAGATTGCATTTATTTAGTGTTTCAGTGGTGCTCTGTATCACGTAGTTTATGTAGTAAAGCTCTTTATAAATCTTATACATTTAGAGCAGTTGAATCTTGTTTTTAATCTGAAATGCTCGCTTGCTTCTCTCACTCACTAGCTTTTCGTTCTTTCTCTTTCTGCAGGCTTGAGAAGGTGAAGGTTGACTCACGCAGCCCTCAGGAGATGAACAACATGCTGAATCACCGAGTCCTGACCCGACCTGAGATCCAAAACAACGAGAGAAACCGTGAGACGCTCCGCCAGGAGGAGAAGAAGCAGAAAGCCGTGGACAAGCAAAAAGAGAAAGACGGCAGGGTAAGCGTGCAGAAAGATGGAGAGCGATACAACCTCCAGAGAGACGCAGACAACTACACTCTGCACTCAGACGCTCAGAGACTCGCTCTGCAGAAGGACGGAGACAGATACATGCTGCAGAAGGACGTGGAGAAATACGTCCTGCAGAAAGACGGAGACAAATACGCCGTCCACAAAGACGGAGAGAAGTACCTGCTGCAGAAGGATGGCCAGAAATACAAGCTACACAAAGACGGAGACAAGTTCACGCTTCAGAGGGAAGGCAAAAAATACGCTCCCCCAAAAGACAGCGAGAAGATCCTGCAAAAAGAGACAAGGTACCCTCGTGGAGACAAACACATGCAGCAGAAAGACCCGGAGAAACCCGTCCTGCCGCCGCGGGAGGGCGAGAAATACGGCTTCCAGAACGAGGGCGCTGTGGAGCGGCCGCTCACCAAGATCAACAGCATCAAACTCCAGCCGGCTCAAGCGGCGGCCATCGCTGCGGCCGTCTCGTCCTCCAGACAGCTCCAGTGCGCAGCGGGATCCGGGCAGTACAAGCCGGCCCAGGTCAACGGTTCTGGGGAACGAGGAGGAGACAGAAGCCCTGGAGACATGAGCAATACGATGCCCCAGAGGACGACGGTGCCGCCACAGCCGGCAGAACCAGAGCGAACCCTGAGCAGAACCAACTCCATGCAGCAGCTAGAGCAGTGGGTCCGTACACACCGCACACGGGCCCCGGACGACGACACCAGGAGGTGAGGAAATGCAATTTATAACCCTTTAGGGGTTCATTTCAAGCTAATATTGCTTATTTTATTGCTTTATTGATTTTTTGTGTGTGTAAAGTTTCATTAATGCTCTAATTCTTTTTAGCCTTCTTTTTAGTGTGGTTGTGATGATCCCATGAGAGACTAGCTTATATGTGACTTTATAGACTACACAATAAATATGACAAACTTTACATTATAAACTAAAAGCTTTACAAACCAAACGTACTACATGCTGTGCAATACACATTTTACACTACGCACAGTACAATCTACACAATATCTACTTTCTTTACTAATTAGAATATGGAACTCAGTTTAAAAACTACTTGCATTACAAAGTACACAGTACATACTTTAAAAACTTTGCAAACTATATGTAACGTTTTAAACATTAAAACTACTTGCATTACAAACTACATGTGACTTTGTAGACTAAGCAATAAATATTACAAACGTTACATTATGAGCTAGAAACTTTACAAACCAAACGTACTACACGCTACACAATACACATTTTACACTACACAGTACAAACTACAGGAAACTCTACAAACTACTTTTATTACGAAGTACACAGTACACACTTTACAAACTTTACAAACTATATAACATTTTAAACATTAAAACGACTTGCATTACAAACTACATGCGACTTTGTAGACTAAGCAATAAATATTACAAACTTTACATTATGAGCTAGAAACTTTACAAACCAAACGTACTACATGCTACACAATACACATTTTACACTACACAGTACAAACTACAGGAAACTTTACAAACTACTTTTATTATGAAGTACACAGTACACACTTTACAAACTTTACAAACTATATAACGTTTTAAACATTAAAACTACTTGCATTACAAACTACATGTGACTTTGTAGACTACACAATAAATATTAAACATTTTACATTATGAACTACGAACTTTACAAACCAAACACATTGCAAATTGTACGATTTAAACGCTACACATTAAAAATTACACAATATATATTTTACAAAATGCTCACTTTGCACATCAGCTGCACAATATAAACTTTACAATCCCTGCTTGACAAACTATACAGCATGCACTTTACAAACCAAACACATTGCAAACCAAAGATACTACAAACTACATAATATGTTTTACACTACATGCTGTGCAAACTACATAATGCCTGCTTTACAAATTACTTGTATTACAATTTACACAGTACGCACTTTACATGCTTTACAAACCAAACACATTACAAACTATACGTTTTAAATGCTACACACATTGTAAACTACACAAAACTATATTTTACAAAATGTTCACTTTACAAACTATACATATTGTCAGACTCACAATACATGCTTTAAAATCTAAACACATTGCACATTATACAATTACTTTTTTACAAACTACTTAGATTATTAATTACAGTACAAACTGCAAACTACACAATATACATTTTACAAACTACAAAATGCTCACTTTACAAGCGAAACACATTACACATCAGTTTGTAAAAGCAGGTATTTAGTTTGTAAAGTTTGTAAAGATTTTATTTTGTAGTTTATGCTTTTGACTTTTATTTGTAGTTTTTAGCATGTATATTGAGTAGCCTGTAATGTTTGCCTTGTAAACTTATTTTGTAGTTTGAAAAGTGTACATTACAAAACACAAACTACACTATACACAAAATATCAACTGCATAATATATGCTTTACCATCTAAACACATTACAAACTACAACATAGTTTGTTTAGTTTGTAAAAGCAGGTATTGTGTAGTTTTTAAAGTTTGTATTTTGTAGTTTGTAATATTTTTGACTTTTATATGTAGTTTTTAGCTTGTATATTGTGTAGCTGGTAATGTTTAGATTGTAGTCTTATTATCTTGTACTTTAAGTGTATATTATGTTTGTTGTGTTTATATACCTATATATTCTTCTCAAACTAAATATTACAAACTACACAATACAAACTTGCCAAACCGAAAACTTTACAGGTCATAAACTTTAAAGGGTTAGTTCACCCAAAAAAAAAATTTCTGTCATTAATTACTCACCCTCATGTCGTTCCAAACCCGTAAGACCTTCGGTCATCTTCAGGAACACAAATTAAGATATTTTTTACTAAATCTGAGAGCTCTCTCAAAGAAAACAAAAATTGCATAATTTATTGAACAATTCTCCTCCCCGAGTTAACATCTTCTGCCATTTTGGAGAGTACCATGACGCATGCGTGTGCTTTCTCCTGAACTTAAACAATGCTGATTACGTTCTGTGGAAAGCGCGCACATGCGTCGTTGTACTATCCAAAATGGCGGAAGACGGTAACTGTATTATGTAGTTTGTAACGTTTAGTTTGTAAAATGATTTTGTAGTTTTGTAAAGTGTGGATTGTGTAGTTTATAATGTAGTCATATATGCTTCTCAAACTAAACGCATTACAAACTACACAATATGCACTTTACAAACTACTTTACTTTTTGAGTGCATATATACAGTAGTTGTATTTTTGTACACTCCGTCTGTCTGTCAGAAAACAAACTAGATGCTGTATCCATGCATCATTCTGTCTGTCTGAGTTTCTGAAGCATCAGGCCTCTGACAGTAGTGCCAGAGAGCAGCAGAGTGCTGTGTTTTCTCTCCCACTCTCAGTCCCCTGACACATCCGCTCCACAACTCCAGCGTCTGCAGGCAGTGTTCCTGCATGAGCTCTTTATCATGACCCAACAGATATTTTTACCTCTGCCCGGTCTCAATGCCTCCGCTGGCCCGGACCGGTTGTGTGGGAGCAGCGTATGCTGTCAGGTGCTATCCTCCGTTTAGCCGTGCAGTGGCAGAGTAGGAGGGACGTGTGTTTGCTTTGCTTGTCTCGTTCTCCTCTCCTCTGATGAATAAGTCATGGAGCTTTGTGCTCGGGCACCTCAAAAATGTGTCTCAAAGTGGATCAGAGTTGCTGTTAGTACAGGAAGAGGAACAGGAAGGCGAGCGAGGAGAGAGAACGGCGCCGTGTGTTTGTGTTATTTAAGATGCTGATTCATGCTGATTATCAAAAGGCATCGGTGAAGCGTGTCTCTGCTGTGCCTACATGCTCTTCAGAAACTATCATCAATATTTGTGGAACTCATGCACGTATCGCAACTCTCGCATAGACCGCCGTCAGGCTAGTTTTTGACAGTATTTCTTGCATATGCACGTCCTGACCAATCAAAAACTTTTCCCAGACTCTCAGCAGACTGCGTGGTTGCATGCCACAATCTGTATTAATTTTCTTAGGCAGCAAACTGAATTTTAAGCTGTTTAGTTTTACCAAAACAATGCTCAAAATTCAGGACGCCATTAAAAGCGGCAAATACAAATAAAAATTCAATCACATTTGTAATCAAAGTTATTTTATTTTAGATGAGAGAATTTTGACCAGATGTGCAGTGTCACTGTTAATTTTGTCTGCGAAATTACTTTAAAAAGATTGTTTGACTGGGTTTTGGGATTTCAACAACGATAACAAATGTGAAAGGATAATTAAATTATTCTAATTATTATACGCTGATTAAACAAATTTGACAAATTTATCTTTGCACAATATTAACAATGTGTTAAAATGTTTATTGATGAAAAAAATTAGAATTTAATGTTGTATTTAGTATAATAAATATTTTGTTTAATGCAGGTTTCAATTAATATTTTTAAATATAGTACAATCTTTATTATAATATTAAATATAATAAACTCAATATATTTAAATTGTTCAAAGTTTGTTGTTTAACGAAATGTAGTTTTAAAGGGGTCATATGATGCGATTTCAATTTGTCCTTTCTCTTTGGAGTGTTACAAGCTCTTGGTGCATAAAGAAGATCTGTAAAGTTGCAAAGACTAAAGTCTCAAA